AGGATTTGCAATATAATATTGTAATAACATTATATATATTGAAAAAAATTAGTTAAAAATTAAAAATTAAATAATTAGGTTTGCTTTATAAGATTGTTACTGATTGTATATGTGAACAAAAATAAAAAGATAGTAAAAATATGGATCCAGCAAATGGTCCATTTATCTCCTCACTAGATCAAATGAAATGAAATTATATTTTCATTTTTTTAATTCACATACTCAAATCTTTTTATAGAATTAGGTTGTTATAATTTGAACATGTGACTTTTTGTTATAAGAAACCATTATTACTGGGTTATAAGATTTATAGTTAAATTATATTTTCATCAGATTCAATATGACTCGATAAAAACCTGACCTAAATAGGTTGGACGAAAATAATAAACATGCAAGAGATCTTATGAAGTTGCCGCACCTAAAGGCAACATGCTTTTGCAGAAAGTCGGATGGTGATAGATTCATTATAAACATGGTTTAGCTTTGGAAGGGAAAGAGAAGTCGTGGAGAAGGTCTGGTGAGACCTTATTCCACCTTCGTGGCATCCTATCATCCTCCCAACCAGCCACCTTTTTATTGTTTTGTCTCTATGGTATTTAAAAGAGCGTGGAAAAAATGTTTTTCTTTTTCATTTTTTCTGATAAAGACGGGAATCGTATTTATTTATATTTATGTAGGAATTTGTTAGAATTGTGGTTACGGGTGAGGTTTGAACTCCCACATTACAAGGTGTATGTTGATATGTCAATCAAGTACGGTTCTAGCTTCATTACCAAACACATTTTTAACATTTTTTTGTACTTTTTGTTATTGATGGATATATAATTCATTTAAATTTGGTAAAATGTCGAAAAATCAGGGTTCGAGCTTTGACTCAACAATCACTTGATTTTTTTTTAATAAAAAACTCCCTTTCTTTTAACAATTGTATTGAAGCAAAATTGTAGTTGAATAGGGACGATTTAATTGTGATTGTTCTAAAAATCACGTAATTGAGATTTTAAACTACAAATCAAATAAAAAATAAGTATAAAAATGAAGGGAAGGGTGAAGTGAAGTTACAAAATATGTTGAAAAGAGAAGAAAGAAAGAAAAAAGAAAAAAAAAAAGGAAAGCAAGAGAGAGCAAAAGGAAGTGATAAAACGTTGAGATAGCTATGCCTACCAGACCGTCCACGAGCACAACAGCACTAATAACGTGATATGGATTTTGACAACTGGTACTCATGCGAATCCAAACAAAACTTTTAACCTCCACATTGCATACGTACCCCATACATACATGCTGTCCATTGACCAAACCCACATCATATGGATGCACATACCCGGCATGATCATGGGAGGATATACATGCAATGCAATATTTACATGCATGCATGTCCACACATGTTGGCCTAACTCCTATGCGTGTGGTGCTCCTAGTCCAACACAATAATACCTGATGGGCCAAGGAGGAGGATGACAAGTTTTTGCAATAGGATTATCTTGTTGGATTTTAGACAAGTCGTATGGACTAGGGTTGTTGTGATGAAAGGGGAAAAAAGAAGAAGAAGAAGACAATTTATTGCCATTTTTCTGTAATGTGAATCTTAAATAATAATGTACAAAACAATTTCTATTACCAGTTAGGATAAACTTGTCTGATTTATTTTTATGTTTGTTAAGTATATCTAGAAGAATAACACATAATTTTAACTAAATAAATACTATGTTTTAATAATTTGCTAAAGAAAGAAAATAATTGATTCTTTAATTTGTATCATTATCTAATTAATTAGATGAATCGCACAAAACTTGTTATATATGGCACATTTGTAAGGAAAAAACAGAGAGTAAATAACTTAATATGTTTTTATAAAGAGTAAATAACTTAATATGTTTTTATATGATAGCTTGAGTTTTCAATCTGTTTTTATATTTTTAATTGTATCGATTATATCTCTAATAATATTTAAGTCTTCGATTTATCTTTTCGATCAATTTTTTCAACACTAAATAATTTTTTCATTGAAAGATAAAAAAATCTAAAGACTTAAAAAATAAAACATACAAATCATGTCACTTTGAGTGTTTTTTTTTAAATTTTAATCAAGGGTATTTTGAAGGGAAAAAAAGTGTCTATAGTCGAAAAAAATCGATCGAACAAATAAATTGAACACTTAAATATTATTTAAAAATATAATAGATACAATTAGAAATATATCAACATATTGACAACTCAAACTATTAAATAAAGACAACTTGAGCTATTATTTAAAAAATAAATAAACGTATTTGATATCTTCGATATTTGTTTTTGAATGAAAGTATCCTCATGGTTATTATTTTTAATAGATCGTTGCTAAATAATTAATCAAGCTTTTATTATAATTAAATCAAGCATTATTAATTTTGTGTAAAATGAAAGGTAGGTAGGTAGTTTCCAAATTCTCTACAAGACCTTTTTTTTAATCATGAGTTATGATGCTTTTTTTATCCATTTGTAGGATATATTACATCCATAACATCTAAATACATACATATATATCTCACCACATACGCATTGATATCAAAATTTAGAATAATTTATCAACGAAATTGTTGTAATTAAATATCGACATATACGTTTATCTACACGTGTAAAAAAAATTAATACATTATCATTTTTTAATATTTAAGAACGTGATAAGCGATAAGTTATCGATTATCTACAACTGAAACCGTTATAATCAAACAGTATGTGTTTTTGAACGTCCTTAAAATTTTAACGCATTATTTTTTTATGTTTGAATTATGATAAGTTATCAATCCTCTACAATAGAATCATTGTAATTAATCATTAATGCACGTGAAAAATTTAATATATTTACAACGTGATAAACATTTGATATAATATTGTGCACTATTTAATGTTAGCGTATTACAAATACATCCATGCATTAATTTTAATATCTTTTTACAATTATCATAAGGTTTAGGTTTTTTTTCTTCCTAATGTGTAATTTGTGAGAGTTTTAAACTTAAAAATTTAGAATTCAGAACATGTCAACTCAAAGTAATTAAATTTCGAATTGATTTCTTGATTATATTAAAAAGGCATACAATTAAAAACAAAATCAAATAGCTTTGAGATGAATTAACCTAATTTTAGTTTAAACTTTAATCTACATGAAGAGAGGGTAACTCCTGCTCCCTACACTCACCCACTATTTCAAAATTCAAACCTAACTCTTTCCCTGTTCCAGATATGAAATTGAATGAAATTTCATGATGATTTATTAGCAAGCCATATTTGTACGTCTACCCCATGTTTTGTATCTTGACCTAACCACCATACATGCACCCACAAATACATGTATATATACCACCCCATATACCATACCTCTACATCTCTATACACTAGAATATCCTCTTGGCCTTAAGAAAGCCACATTTGCATACCTCAGTTTGTTTTTTTTTTTTAATAAAAAATTACATCCATTGATAGATAAGAGTAGATTGTAGAGAGAGAAAGAGAGAGTTGTTTTTAGTTTTCACTTGGGAAAATGAAAAGAAAAGAAAATGGTTTTTTAGAGTGAGAAATACACATACATACAGACACAACAACAAGAACTTCACCACCACCACCCCCCACCCCTACCTCCATCTTCTATCGTTTTAAGACACACATTGTAATAAGAGAAAACACAAACTCGAGACACCAAAACATAGAGAGCCTTTGCCCAAATCAAATCTCTCTCTCTCACTCTTTTCTATCCAAACAACAACTCTTTATCTATCAATCAAAAAAAGTTTTTTCTTTTTCATCTCAAAAACAAAGAGGCGATCTAAAAACAATCGGTTGCTTATTTTTTATAGCTCCGATCGTTCTGGTTTTTGTTTATATCGAAGATCGATCCGTGAGTATTTTTTTTTTGTGGGTTTTTTTTTTGGCGACAGTAATCTATGTTTTTGGTTTGTTTGTTGATGATCGGTTTTGATTTTATTTTGAAACAAAAGGGTTTTTCTTGTTTTGTTTTCAAGTTTTTTTCGATGATCGTGTTGCTGATGGTTTGTTAAATGGTAAAAGATTTGAACTTTTTTTGAAATAAGATGAAAAAAATTAGCTTTTTTTTTTTAATTGTGTTATCGGTTCAATTGTTTGCTATTTAGATATGTACGTGTGGTTGGTGGTTTTAAGATGATATGATTTTGGTATAAAGTAAGAGTGAGTGACTAATTGGAAATGAAAGAATGAGTTATCATTTCCAGAAAATGGAACGATAAACAATTGCTTAGATTTTGTGTGTGTTTTTAGCTACATTTGCTTCGTGTTTGGGGATGTAACAATAAAATCTTTTTATGTTATATTTGCTTTTAAAGTAAGCCACTTTTGCTTTTTTCTATGCAATTTTTAGGACTCCAAGTGAACATTCTTAGAATACATCTATCTATGTATTTATGTTGATATATGCATATGCTTATATTATTTTCCATTTGCAGTTGGTGGTCCTTGTTGATAGTGTTGTTAGTTGGGAAATTGGGAATTTTACAATGCTATCATAAAGAAAAAGAAAAACTTGTATCAACTGGCTTTTTTTTGATAAGGGTATGCTAACAAGTTTGAATTTTAGTTGATTGAGGGGGTTTCGATTATGATGTGGTTATGTATCAGTTTTGCGCGCCCGCGCGTTTGTGTTACATTTGAACTGATTCTTAACCGTCACATGTCTGTTTTGAAGGTTATGTGTGAGTGGTTTATGTGTTTTCCTTATTTGATCATTGATGTGTATTTATTTATAGCGGCATATATCGATCCATTTATCTGCGTAAAGAACATGTGTGAAATGTACACTTTTAGATTGCTTAAATGGCTTTCTGTCTGTAGTGCCATTTCCTTTTATGTGTATCTCCCACTGCAGTTTATGTGTCTGCACGTGTGCACATCTACGTCATGAATTATGATCATCTGGTTTTTGGGTTACAGGAGATTCGAAGGGATATCGGTGGAATACAGTGGAATGTGATTTGCATGGGTTGAGGATGCCAGAATTGAGAAGTGGAGCCCGGAGATCAAAGCGCCTTGATGATCTGCAGCCTCCCCAACAACCGAACAACCAAGCAGAGAATTTGACAGTGCCTGTTCAAAACAAGACCAGGAGGAGAGGTGGTGGTGGTAGAGGAAGGGGTGGGAATGCTGCAGGTGTAGCAAAAGGGGCTTCGCCAGCAACGAGGCCAACTGCTGCCGGTAGAGGCCGGGGTGTTAGGTTGATAGATTTAGACCCAGAGCCTTGTCAGGTTGAACCTGCGGCTGTAGGAGCTGCTGAACTAGGTTATAATAGATTAGAGGTGGTGGCAGATAAAGATATTGCGATGGAGGGTGGAAGTGCAGAGAAGGTAGTGGGAGTCGAAGAAGAAGGAAGCACAACTCCAGTTCCTGAGAGGGTAGTCATCCATTCGCCTTTAATTTTTGCTGGGGTCATTTGTATGCATTATTTAGTTGTATAAACTGCCTTAGTTACTATCCTGCCGTTATACTTTATTTGCAATTAAGAAATTACCATCCCTGCTATTCCAGCTTATGTGGGATAAGCTGTTTGAAAATGCTTGGATGGTGATCGCTTTGGAATATCTTTATGAATTAAGCTGGTTAGGTTACATGTTGTTACTTCTATATTCATCTTGAAAGTAATTTCTTTCTAAAGTTTGCTGTAGTTTATCCTAGTGAATCTCCTTCTTAATGTGGTGGTGTTTCTGTTAATGGGTGCAGGTACAAGTGGGCAATTCTCCTGTGTACAAAATAGAAAGGAAGTTGGGTAAGGGTGGTTTTGGCCAAGTTTATGTTGGCAGAAGGGTTAGTGGGGGCAGTGATAGAACTGGACCGGATGCAATTGAGGTATGATTGATAGCTCATTCCCATGTCCTATGACATTGAAAACATGACCATTTTGAGTCTGATGTTAGCGTTCCATTACTTTTACAGGTGGCACTGAAGTTTGAGCACAGGAATAGTAAAGGTTGCAATTATGGCCCTCCTTATGAGTGGCAAGTGTACAAGTAAGTACATACTTTATTATTTGAATTTGAAAATGAAGATTATGTGCTACTTGCTACTAAACTTATTTGAAACCTGTCATCTGATCCCTTACTCTTTACTAATCTGTTCTTTTTTCCATTTGAATTGGAAAGCACCTTAAATGGATGTTATGGAATTCCGTGGGTGCATTACAAGGGTCGCCAAGGAGACTTCTATATTCTGGTGAGGTTTGATAATGAGTTCCTCAAGGCCAAAATTTCAAAACTTGCTTATTGTTTCTGAAGGCAGTTAAATATTTATTTCAGGTAATGGACATGCTTGGACCTAGTCTTTGGGATGTTTGGAATTCCCTAGGCCAATCGTAAGAATATCATCTCTGTCTCTCTCACACAGACAAACACCCCCCCCCTCACAACCCAAACACACACATGCAAGCACGTGCACTGACACAATGATCATGCAAGTGTGCATGACATCCTTCTGTCTACACGATAGGGGTTGCCTTTTTTCCCCGTTTAATATGCAAGTGCCTGCACAGGATGTCACCAAATATGGCAGCCTGCATTGCCGTGGAGGCTATATCAATTCTCGAAAAGCTTCATATGAAGGGGTAAGCCTGTTTATGTTCATGGCTTCAGGCATTGACTCTCTTATTTATCACCTGCCTCAGTAATTCCTGTTGCATGGTACCAGTACTCATGATTTGCTTTTTTCTCATACAAGGTTTGTGCATGGAGATGTCAAACCCGAAAACTTTTTACTTGGTCAACCTGGAACAGCTGATGAGAAGAAGCTATATCTTATCGATCTTGGTTTAGGTATGTTGTCTTTCCTTTTCACACACTGTCTGTTATCCCTCGAGTGTCAACCATGAGCATATTATATAATAACTTACATTCCTTGTTGGTAAATGTATACATGATAAGTTTTTGTTTTCTCCATGTGTTTGAAGTTGCACTAGATGCTATTTATGTAGCTGTATTAATTGCTGGTGCCTTTAATATTTTCTTTTTGGTTCAGCATCTAGATGGAAGGATGCATCCTCTGGTCAGCATGTTGATTATGATCAGAGGCCTGACGTATTCAGGTGTGGATTTTTTTCCCTCTATGCTCATAAATTTATACTGAATCTTCAAATACTAACGTATCTATTCTGGCAGGGGAACGATAAGGTATGCCAGTGTACATGCACATCTAGGTCGAACTGGAAGTCGGAGGGATGATCTTGAGTCATTAGCATACACATTAATATTTCTTATAAAAGGAAGGTTGCCATGGCAGGGTTATCAGGTTAGTCTATAATGTTATTTCAGGTTTTTGTATTAAGATCTTTTCATCCTAGTTCTTGCATCATATATTTTTGTTGTTATCTGATTGTTTGTTTGTTAAAATGCACAGGGAGACAACAAGAGCTTTCTTGTTTGTAAGAAAAAGATGGGTACATCTCCAGAACTGATGTGTTGTTTTTGTCCTGCCCCATTCAAACAATTCCTTGAAGCTGTTACTAATATGAAGTTTGATGAGGAGCCCAATTATTCCAAGCTGATATCTTTTTTTGAAAATCTTATTGAACCATGCACGCCACTAAGGCCAATTAGAATTGACGGAGCTCTTAAGGTAATTCTGGTTTCCTTTTCTTTTTCTGAGTTGGATAGGATGCTTCAACGTGCTGACCTTTTCTTATTGCCTTAAACTATCAGGTTGGGCAAAAGCGTGGAAGATTGCTTATAAACCTGGAAGAGGATGAGCAACCAAAAAGAAAGTAAGATTAGGTAGTCCTGCTACACAGTGGATTTCTGTTTACAATGCGCGTCGACCTATGAAGCAGAGGTAAATTTACCTTTGGTATCATCATTTGATATTTGTTTGTTCTGGTTTCACTCTATATGTGTTCACGACTCTTATTTTCTGTGCTCGAAAGTATTTTCTCTGTAAGTTGATTTGAGCTGGTTTTATCATTTACTTTGGGTGCGAAAGAGAGTGTTGGTGGTAACTGCCCTTAGATTCCCATAATGCCCCAGATTTTTTTGCTTCAAACTGTGGCTTTGGTGTTCATGTTGCTTCGGGGAGGGAGTGAGGCAAGTTGAGGGGAGAGAAAAGTGGATATTTGGAAGGGTTTAGGTTCCATATGGTTGTTAAATGCGACAGAAATGTTGATGTTGGGCAACTTTGGATTTTTGTCTCCCAAATGGTTTTTTGGTTAGCTGGGTTTGTAGAATTTGGGATTTTATGTAGGAATATTAGGATAAGGGTTTGTTGTAGGTGGAATTGGGATTGATCAATGATGTGTTTTTTAGGAGGATTTTGGGATTGTTACCATAGTAGCTGCGAGCAACAACTGAGATTAATGTAGCCATAAGAATAGAAGAGGAGGATGAATGAAATACTGTTAGAGAGAAGATAGGAGGAAGAAAGAACACAAGGCTGCAGCCCTTGAGCTAAAACAAAAAGATGCTTGTAATTCCATTATTCAAGTCCTACGGCTACGTAGAATAGGAACCGAAAATCAAAAACCTAATACACATTATAGGAAACTCCTAACCGATAGTCTAGTTCCTAAATAAGCGAAGATTTGTAAATAGCATTAGTATCTCTATGATAAATTCTAGACAGACTAAATTTGCTAGGAACACCATAATATACAGAATTAAAAATAAAATAAGGTAAGTCAGAAACTTGTTTCTTCTTTTGTTGCAACAAATGTGGTCAGATGCTTTGGAAGAATGATGAAGATGTGAAGGATTCGAGGAAATTCCGTGTTTCTAAAGATTGAAAAATTTACTAATACCTGTCGAGGATGGCTGAAAATATTTTTCATTTGTTAAGTCAAGATCGATGATAGCAAGAAGTCATATCACTGATCAGTGTTTAAGCCTCATGAGGTATCTCAACTAATAAGACAATTTTGAGTTTAAAATATAATTAGATTAAGGTAATTATCTTTCTTAACTAGTAAAGCTGTTCATTCTCTAAAAAGCATGTAGCAGTGCAAGGTGATGGAACAAATCCAGATATTTAATGATAATATTTGACTTCTTTGAAAAGAAAGGCTAAAAAAAGAACACTCTGAGAAATCAGTATACTCTGGGACTTTAAGTAGACTTTTGAGGTGCTGTGCCAAAATCCTCAAGGTTATCGAAACGACAGTTCTTCTGCCTTGCTCCAAAATGAAGGAGCATGATATGGATAATTGCCATCTATAGGACATCCTACACACACACACACACACACACACACACATGTATCTTAAAGTATAATTCTTCTTGGGACATAGTGTGTGTCAGTCATAAAATGTCCAAAGTATGAAATATGCATTCTATTTAATTTTTGTTCTTGATATTATAATTTTTAAGTTGAAGTTAGAATTCTTCTCACAGTTCGAAGAATTTTCATTCTTTACATGATAAAATTGGAAGACTATATGAAATTCCTCAGAATAAATTTATTATCATTTTGTTTTTCCCATCACCAGTCTTCTAGTTCCTGGAACTTCTAATATTCTCAGTCTTCTTTTTCCTAATATCAATCTTCTTCTGCTTACATTGGATTTGCAGATATCACTACAATGTAGCAGATGCAAGGCTGCGCCAGCATGTAGACAAGGGTAATGAAGATGGACTATATATTAGCTGTGTTGCCTCTTCAGCTAATCTCTGGGCCCTAATCATGGATGCTGGAACTGGCTTCTCGTCTCAGGTTTATGAATTGTCGGCTGTCTTCCTGCACAAGGTATTAATTCAAGAACATTAATTGCCATCATCTTTTACCCCACGATAATGTGTGCCTGGAACTATTGATCATCTTTGAAACTCTGGATTGTTAACAGGATTGGATTATGGAACAGTGGGAAAAAAATTACTATATCAGTTCAATAGCTGGTGCAAGTAATGGAAGTTCATTGGTCGTTATGTCCAAAGGTTGGTAACTGTTTCTGCTATTTAAAGAATTGCAGACTATATACGTTAGTACTCTCTGAAATTTGTCAAGAAGCTTCATTTAGATTTTATTGTCATCTCACTCTGTTTTCAAATGTAAGGATACTAAAAATGATGGTGGACTTGTAAGCTACAATGATCCTTACACTTAAAGAGGTCTTAAGTGTGTGTGTGTGTGTGAGAGAGAGACAGAGAGAGAGAGAGAGAGACTTGTGTCTTTGATAGTAGGCAGCCAGCTAGAAGGACTAGATTAATAAATCAGGTAGTGTAACTATCTGACTCTAAAACATGCTTTGGTTAGAAAGTGAACTGCCAACTTTCCTCTGGCAAACAGTTAATTGCTGTAAATTTTCAGTAATGCTTTCTGACTACTAAGTGGGATTGTGCAAGGCTTGTATTGCTAGATACTAGTTTTGTCTGAAATGAAATTTTGCTTTATCTGGTCATCTTTAGCCATTTCGTTGGCCTTTTATAACCCAGGCATGCCTTTTATTGTGAGACTAATGCATATGTTGAGGTCCACTTTTGCAACCTGACTTTGCTGTAAGTGTCGTGCATGCTGTCATGGCAAGGATAAAATACAAGCTAGTTTTGGAATAACTACTTCCATTATGTTCTTTTACTTTTTTTGAGATTCATCATTTCGCCAAGGTGACTGTCGGATCCAGCCTATCATGCATATAAAATGGGTCCTGGCATCGTCATCACAGTACTGTCTATTTAGCTCTCAGAATTAGGCTTTTGCAACAGAGTAACGTGTAGGTTCATGAATGAGATGGTTATGTTTGCCTAATTGACATGAAATTTGAGATTCATGCAATGGGAGAAGCATGACTCTTAAAGCAAGCCTGAAAAGTGCATCTCACTGCTTGTGGAGTGCTATGAAAATTGTCATTCATGTTTCTTATTGGAACCGAGCCTTTCTCAAATCGTTTGTGTTTGTATGGGTCAAACGAAGTAACTTCTACCAAGAAATCAAATGGCTTAACTTTTACCCAAGTAGATTCTGAAGTTTCTGCAATTATGTAGGAACTCCTTACACCCAGCAGTCTTACAAAGTGAGTGAATCTTTTCCTTTCAAGTGGATAAATAAAAAGTGGAAAGAAGGTTTTCATGTGACATCCATGACAACTGCTGGCAGTCGCTGGGGAGTGGTAATGTCCAGGAATGCTGGATATTCTGATCAGGTATGAGATCCTGTTGTGATCGTGATTTTCATTTGCCCCTGCTAATCAATCATGCACAGAACTATTTTCCAATTTTATCTTATGGTTATCTGATTCCTCTTGATTATCGTTTTACTGAGACTAGGTAGTGGAGCTTGACTTTTTGTATCCAAGCGAAGGAATCCATCGGCGATGGGAGAGTGGTTTCAGAATAACATCCATGGCTGCCACTGCTGATCAAGCAGCCTTCATATTGAGCATACCAAAGCGGAAAATGGTGGATGAAACTCAGGAAACTCTGCGCACCTCTGCCTTCCCGAGCACCCATGTAAAGGTAGCTTTCATGTATATTCCCCTGCAATTTCTGAAGAAAAAGTTGAGCATAATTAGATAGGTCTTCTAAGTTCTATGTGCGTACTCATTGGTTAGCTCACTTGATCTGGCATTTTGGTCTATGCAAGGACTTGCTTTTTTGGATAGCTAAATTGACTATAATTTGGCTTGTATTACTTTCCATGTCTATTTTTAGGTGGTTTTGTGTATCCTTTTAGGTGGTGGCTTTGTTCAGCTTCTCATAATGAATATCGATTGTTTATTTGCCATGCATTTCTTTTTGCAGGAAAAGTGGTCCAAGAATCTCTACATTGCTTCAATTTGTTATGGGCGCACTGTCTGCTAGTTTTTGGCGTTCATGTGGCATCTCCAAAAGAGCAATGGTTTCAAATTCGAATTTTGGAGCTGAGGATATTTTTGATATGATTCGGAATGGGGCAGCTATCTTTCATCTCGCATGTTAAAGAAAATCCAGGTTTCTCATATAGGAGGATCTCTTTCATATATGACTGTAAAAAGGAAAAGAAGGGAAAAAAAAAAAGAGGAGAAATTAAAATGAATTGAGAGTTTGCAAACATGTTCCCTGACCATGAGCCGGTGGGGCAGCAGTTGAAAACATTATATAATGTTATTGGCTATTGCAGCCTTGTTGTGCTTTATTACTGGAATTCTGGTTTGAGCTATCATAATTGGAAAAAACTTTTGCAATTTTTGCCCTTGTAGATAGAAACAGTGGGAAAAAGAGCACAAGAGTTTGCTTGCATAGCAAATTCTTGTCGCTTTTCTCCTTTCCTTCAGCTGAAGGGATGATATAAAAGGAGAAGAAAATTTAGGTTTTTAAACAAGGAGATGAAGTTGCACCTGCGTTGACCCCAGTCAACAGTCCGGGTGAGTCCAGGGGTTAAGTTATAGGGTCTGTTAGAGCTATGCTATAATATAATAGCTGTCTAACCATTAGACTGAAAAAAGAATGTCCCATGGTCGGCAGGGAACAGAATTGAGAATTTAGGGTTGGAAAACAGAAGCAAAAGGAATGGTAGGTGGGAATTTTTTTTTTTTTTTGGCTCAAGGATGGTAGGTGGGTCGGAATTTTTTGTTTTGGGTCGGGAATGGTAAGCAACTCTGACATTAGACTTGCTGCCTTCTCAGATCAGAGTTAATTATCAATTTATTTGTTCTTCTACCTTTTTTTAAAATTAAATTCTTCATTTCCGTTGCTCTTAGCGTTATCTTTATTCCTTTTTTTTTCGAGAAAAAACAAAAATTGCCATGATATCTTAGTGTCAGTTGGACAAAAGTAATTAAAAAAATTGCATCTTTTATTAAAAAGCATCAGAAATATATATATATATATGTGTGTGTGTGTGATCTTTATTGGTTTTATGATAGGTTGGTATCTTATTTTGGTCCGATGCCGGGACAACAAGAGCCAATAGGAGCAATGATGATACTGAAACATCAGCAACATAGAAAAAACCCTTTCAAATTTCATGATACCAAGTTGTTGTACATATCAAAACATAAAGCTGTTGTAACCACAAAAAGAGAACTAACCCGGAAAAGTTCGTGGCTTATAGTTTAAGTGAAAATGTTGGCGACATGGAAAAACCAAATACATACATAAATGAAATTGTTGAGATAAACCCTACAGGAAATCCAATCCCCACCATTTTTCAGGGTAGCCATGTGACCTGACCCTCGCTCTCTTTTGTTTCTCTCTTTGGTGATTCCTTCTCCCATGGTTTTATCACCCAATTTTTTGATCCCATTTATTTTTATGAATTTTTCCAAAAAAATTATACAAATATCAATATTAAATATTCTCTTAGTTTACTTAATTGTACAAACTTTTCTCCTTTTTTCAAGATTTTTATGAGTTCCAATTTTTTTGATTTTTAGAAAAAATTACCGAGCCCAAAAATTAGTGAAAATGAAAAGAAAGAAAGAAAGAAAAAGAAAGGAGAATAAATAGAAAAATATAATTTGGGCTTAATTGAAATAAATGAGAGAAGTAAGGACTAAAACAAATTCAATTAGACGCTTAATTGAAAAAGACTAAAACTCAAGGATCTTAATTGAGAATGAGTTGTGATGAAATTGAGAGAAATTAAAAAAAAAGGGGACTAAAGAATCTCAATTGAGGGTGTGATTAGAGAGTGAATAAAAGATGCAGACCAAAATTTAAGATAAAAGCAGAAGATTAAGTGACCGAATCAGATTTTCATCCAAACCCTAAAAACCTTATTATAAAAACCTATATTCTTCTCTCTATATGAGTAGCAGCCACCATTTTTCCCCTTCACGAAAAACACTGCCTCCAGCAGCCGTTCGTCAACGCTGTAACTCCAGCTGTCGTGAATCACCGCTGCAACTCCAGTCGCTGTTCACCACTAACCCTAGCCATTCCTCCGTCGAAACCCTGCGAAACCCAGCCACTCTTTCGCCGAAACCCTCCTTTGCAACTAAGACACCCAGCCACTCCTCAACTGCAACCAAAACCGAGCCACAACCTCCATCGAAAACCAAGCCACTCCTCCGAAACCCAACTAAAAATAGCCACTCCTCCATAATTGCCGTTCGTCACAGTACCGCACACCCAAAACCACCACAATCCAACCCTAAAAACTTAACCATTTCCTTCACAAGGCCCGAAACACCTTCTCATTGCTACTGTCCTGCCCCGAAAAATCACATTGCCAGCAGTCCCTCACATCATCTCCATTAAACACACACTACTGTTGAGATACCACAACCCAAGTCCCACTCTCCCAAAGCTGAAACCGACTTGAAACACGTTAATCAAACACTAAAAATATCTAAACCCGAAAATATAAAATTTTAAATTGATGATGATTGTTGTAGAAAAGGATTCAATTAGTTTAACATAGCCCTTAAACGTATTTGACCTGATTGATTTCTTAGAAGAAATTGGGTCTTGTTTGGATTTTAAGCCTATTTTTAACTGATTTAAACCCATAAACAGGATTTTTTTTTTTTTGTTGGAAGTAAGCAAAGGAGGATGATAGATTTGGCATTGTGTATACCTCTCCTCTCTAGTTGGCAATATCGTTTGTTATTGTCATCGGAAGGTTGAAAGAGGTTGCACTAGATTTTTCTTGCATCTGAAGCTTTGAAAAGCGATCAGAATCAGCCCGAACGAGTTTCGAGAATAAACTACCACCAAGGGTAGTTTGGTCATTTGGCATGATAGGGTAGTGTGATCAATAAATGCGATGAATTTATCAGGATTGGTCGTGAAAGTTAACGCCTTTTTTTTTTTTTTAATGATAAATTAAATGTGGTGTGTGTATGCGATGAATTTATTGGGTTTATCTCTACAAGTTAATGTAGCATTTGTAATGAATTAAAAATGTGCTATATGTGGAATGTGTTGAATACGTCGGTGTTAGCTCTGTGAACTAACACTGCAATCGCGGCTAATTAAATGTAATATGCCAGTTTTGTATTATGAGTTTGCAATCACATATCTAATGCATCTCATTTAAATTATACACCTTAACGTATATCATAAAATCTTGTTTTCATGCATCTCATAAAGTTGTATATTTTTGTTAATGTTTTTAAGTCATATTTTCATGTATTTCATTTAAGTCGTGTGCTTTCACGTATATCATAAAAATGTGTTTTTAAACATGTCATAAAGGTGCATATTTATTTTTAAGTTGTGTCTTCACGCATCTCATAAAGCTATGTTTTTATACATCTCATAAAGTCATATATTTTTACACGTGTTTTTAAACCATGTCTTTATGCATCCCATTTAAGTCTTGTGCCTTCACGCATCTCATAAAGTTGTGTTTTTATGCATCGCATAAAATTACATATTTTTGTGTATGTTTTTAAGTCATTTACCTTCATACATCTCATAAAGTCGTGTTATCATGCATCTTATAAAGTTGCATATTTCTACGTATGTTTTAAAGTCATTTGTCTTCACTTATTTCTTAAAACCATGTTTCCAAGCATCTTATAAAGTCACATACTTTTGCACATGTTTTTAAGCCTTGTGTCTTTACGCATGCATCTTAGTAAGCTATATGTCTTTGAGGATATCAAAAGCCATGTTTTCATGTATTTTAAATCTAGTCGAATATTTTTATAAGTGCCGCCAAGTTGTGTTTCCACGTATTTTAAATCAAGTCTGCATATTTTTTAGCATTTTATCAATTCGTGTTTTCACACATTTTAAACAAAAGCTCGCATATTCTTTCATATTTATCATGTTTTTTTTCATCTCATTTTTTTTCAAGTTTAATGCCTATTCATTTTAGAGTAAGGAAATAGGTTTTCAATCGGCCTAATTTTCAAATCACTTAACTAATCGATTTCAATCAAAAGATCCACTCATGTAGTTATAGACTCACAACATAGTAAGATCAAATGTTGACATTCAACATAGCAATGATTTTAATCTTCTCTATTACTAACCAATTCTTTACCTAAGATCTTGTGTGGATCGGTAATTTAAGTTTACTCATTTAACATATAAGGAATGACACGTTCTATTTTAGTCATTCATCTACTTTCATTATATTCCTAGTACACCAAACAAATCTCTCATGTGCAACCCTTTACCGAGTTTATCGAAACAAGTGTTAAAGTACACAAATCCTTCAATGAGATAACCATGATGACTTTAAGTCTAAGGATCAGTTGTACCAATCTCGTATAAGATTATCATAGACTAAAGCAAATGGATTCTCATGACGAGTCAAGTCCAATGATATGTTTTATAACATAAATTACCTAAGTACTTGCTTTGGCATCGTCATGTCAATAAGTTTGAGATCTCCTACTTGTTATCATATAGTGTGAGTATAAGTACTTACAAGTCTAACCATATATAATCAATATTCATTATTGACAATGTTACAACTTGGGACATTTAATGATATAATTTATATGCATTGGTGTTTTTCTCACATATTTCTATCAATCACTAATGCAAATGCATATCATATGGACTTTTATTTAATTCTATTCAATACATAAATATAAGATATAAGAATTAACATAAAGACTTTTTTATTAATAATAAAATAAATGAGTCAATAATACAATAACTCAAACATATCCAAACATTGTTGGATTTTGGGTATCTATACTAATATTGTAGTGCTAGCTCTTGTGTCGGACAACACACGAAAACCCGATCACGGGGTGTGGCCTTTGGGTTTTCACATTCAATGATAAGTTATTTACCCCACGAGTGTATAAAAACCTATATACATGATTTTGTATGATTACGATATATGTATGTATAAGTATTTTGATGATTTGATACAAAATGGTTTTGAATCATTTAAATTATGATGAATGATTTAGATTTACGATGTGTATTTGTTTTGGAAGAAAAAAGCATTGCATCTTTATTCGAGTATTAAGTAATCATCCTTAATCCGTTCCATCCCTTAGTATATTGTATAATGTTTACTCACTAAATTGTTGATTGCTTACCCCTCATTATTTCAGTTTTGTAGGATAATGAAAGATTGCCTCTTTTGCTTCCGTTCGATCGCTTGTTTGTAGTCGACACATTGATCGTGCAGTTTAATTTAATTGTAATTTCTAAAACTTATGTTTTATTCGGTTGTGTTCTTAGAGGCTCGCAATTATAGCTCGTGTGTATTATATTAGAAATGGACTATGAATATTGAATCATGACTTGTATTGAAGTTGTAAATAATGTTTATTAAGTTGGGTTAATGTTAATTGAAATGATATTGATAATTGAAGATTATAGTATAAGTCTAATGATGAATTGAGGATTTTAGATTAATATACGAAGCTTGCTTAGGTCGAGGTAGGCCTAACGGTTCCTTCAATTCTCGCGTCAATCATGGCCCACTCCCGAGGTCATGATATCCGAGTGCTAAAGAAGTTGTTTTGGTTTGATCAAGACCAATGCTCAATTTTCATTATCTACGGATAACTAGCTATAATTATTTTTTAGTAGTACCAAGTTAATCTGGGCTGATTTGACCTCAAGGACAGCGTAGTAGTCAACCAAAAGATAGACGCATTTTGATACTAATTTAGCCCAAAAAGTGATGAAGTTAGTTCCAATTAATGCAAAAGTTGGCTTGAAAATACTTCATTACTTGTGTGAATATATATATATATATATATAAATTGTTTAACTTTGTTATATAATCTTTCATAATCTTTCGCTTATTTGCTTCATTCATTTTATTATTTTTTTAAAATGATATTCGATCCTTTGCCTCGAATAAATATTATATAAAATTTTAGTTTTTTTTTATTATTTAATTAAATTTTTATATTTTGGTGCTTAATTTAAATAATATCATATATAAATCAAATCACGTAAAAAAAAAAGTTGACATCCATATTTGATTAAATATTTAGTCCTCTGTAAAGGGTTTTTTATTAATTTATTTAATATTAGGAATTTATCATCTATTATGTCCACATAATGTTTCACAATGTTATTCAATTAGATTATTATACATATTTGTTTTCTTGTAACATATAATTCAACTTTCTTGTAACAAAAATTGAAATCTTTCATTGATTTTTTTGATCATATATATTTTAATCAATTATTTTAAATATCAACTTTAAAAAAAAACATAATAGAAAACTTGATAATATAAATATATATTTAGTAAAATAGTTAGAAACTTTATATGCAATTGCAATTCGCTTTCTTAGAATTAAGTTTGGTGGGATTCTTTGTACGGTTGGATAAGGATTCTAATCTTATCTTTTGTAAGTTTTTCATACTATAATTCAGATAAATACATTTTTCTAATTTAATTTTTTATTTTATGTTTTGTGCTCCAAACTAACAGAATTAGTGTTTTCTTTTCCAATTTAGAGTTAACCATAGAGAATATATATATTTATAAAAAATAGTAAAGCAAATTAGGATAGGGCCCTGATAGAAGTAGGATATTCTTATAAAAAGTAAGACAAAGATATTATAGACTTCTTTTTTCTTACACTCCAGTGGTTAGTTATTTTATAAAAAATACAACAATTCACCCCCCTCCCCAAAAAAAAAATAGTCTCTTTTTATTTACTATTTTTCAGTTTTAGTTATTTGAGGATATATATATATATATCCACACACACAAAAAGAAACTAATTATTATAGTAGAAAAAAAATCATCAAAGGGCATTATAGGCTCCATATATTCCTATTAATAAAAATGATTTTGTTACAATGTTTTCTTTTTTAAAAAAAATTGAAAATTCCAAAAAAAAAAAAGGCATTATATTTTTTTCAAAAGTTTACCCTCCTAAATGTGTATTTTATTATATGTTAAGTTTTGAATAATTTATAACCCAATGTTTTTCAATTTTTTTGTTTGACGGTAAATTAAGAAGTTAGTCTCCTAACTCATGGTTGCTTTTGCTACCATTCTTTATAGAGAAGCAGATGCTTAGCAAATGTTTGGGTAATATTTTTCACTCTAAAAAATTTTGACCATTTTTTTAATATCATATTATTTTTTTTTGTTTAATCTTTTTTTTTTTTAAGTTATGATATTTCATTTAATTTTCTTTCATTTTACTATTTTATCATTCTGATTTTTTTGCCACATGTCGAAAAATAATTAACACGTCATCATTATTGTAAGACCTATTGCTTCATTAGGACGCAAAAAAAAAAAAAAGTTGAAAAACTCAAATGAAGCAAATCAAAATCAAAGCATTCAAATAGAAAATTAATTAAAATAGAAGCACTAAATAATATAGTTTTTTGAGTTTTCTCTATTTTTGGATTTTGTACTTTCTTGAATTTTTTTACTTAAAATTCTTTATTTTTTTAAAACTTGATTAAGATCTTCTACTTTTGAGATTTCTTACGTCAAATCTTCAATTATAACATCTATTATTACTCATCCGACGTGATATATTATCGTTAAAAGTCATCTATTAGTGATTGTCACATGACATTGTGATATCAAAATATAATTTTCCATCCAAATTAAAAAAAATTAAAAATGATTTTAATAATAAAATAATACTTAAGACTAAAAAATTAAAAAAAAGACGCATTTCCTCTTGAAAGTTTCGAATATCCAATAGCAAGAAAAGCTGAAGATCCATCAATTCGCTCATACGCATATCCACCTGGTAAATCTCTCTCGACAGCCGTAAGCATTCCTCCCATCCGTTTCCCGTGACTCCTCCAAAATCCTCTCTACGACAACACTGATTGCGCCCATGAAAACTGCTGGGAATTGAAAAATGCACTTGCAATCCTCTATCCTGGCATAGAATCGCAGCCACAAGTGCCCACATTATCAAAAAGCAAAATCGTATTCGTAGTATAAACAACCACCGCAATATTAGTGGACACAACTTCATTGAATTTATTACTTTTCGAATGGGTTGGGCAATAATGGGGATGGAGGGATTCGATCTTTTTTTTTTTTTTGTTAATTTAAATCATTACACTATTATTAAAATTATTCTTTTAATTCGGATGAAACAACTGTATTTTGAGACCGATAATACCGTGTGCCAATCACAAACAAATAGTTTTTAACAATAACGTGCTATTTCATATAAATAATAGATGGCTTACAGGAGAGGATTTAAAACAAAAAATCTTAAAGATTACAGTTTTTTAAAAAAAAGTCTCGGTAAAAAAAATTTCAAACAATATAAAGTTTAAATACAAGAAAAACTCTCAAACTTTGTTTAATCAAATAAATTTGTACTCTTCCATTTCATAAAAACTGTATTTTGTATTTTGTTTAGTGACTAGCGGCATGAAATTTTAGTTCAATGGCTAGTGGCAATTTGATCAATAGTTGAGGTGAGTTTCTTACATTTTAGCCTTTATTTTTTTTGGGTAATAATTGAGTTCCAAAAGTGCGCAACGCATGCATAAAATGGAAGTGTATCATGTACAGTGATAGAATGAGACAGTTTTGTTTTATTAAAGCTATTTAGTAGTTAATTATTTTATTCAATAATCTTTCTCGTCAAAACAGGTTGGATAATTAGTGACCAAGCAATTGTGGAATCTACAAAAATCTGGAACCAGCAAATTCAAATAAGCATAGATTAACAATTAATCCTAATAAAAATTTGATCTGTTTATGATAATAGCTATTTAAAATCGAGCGATGAGGCGGACAAGAAACATATGGCCGGATTGGGCGTAGGGCGGACTCCCAAAAAGACTCTCAAAGTCCACATGAGAATCAAGTCTTCCCTGTAGCCATCACTAAAATTTGGAGAGACAAATGGCATACAAAGAAATCCAAAAGCCACAGGTAACAGTGAGGAGACATGTTTTCAAGGTGTATGGCAGAGATCGGATTTCTTGTTGGATTCCACTGCGCAGTATTTGCTATCTATGGCATGGTTTTTTTTTTTTTTTTTTTTCATGTTCACCATCAATAGTTTTAGTAGTGAATTAATTAATGTTGTAAATTAACTCTTTTGTTATTAAAGATTCTATGTGTTTTGAAACTTTTATAAGTTGTCTCTTTTGGTTTATTTCATAGTTCGATAAAATTGATATATATATATATAGAGAAACCCGTCCGATATTTTTCCTTGAAAACTAATAACATAACCATAGTAAAGTCCGCTATGATGAAATAAGCAACATCGTTACCATTTAACAAATTTGCGATCTTCCGTCTAGGTTTTCAAAGGCTCGCATTCAACCGACGAAAAGGACAGAGTTATGTTCTTCAAATGAAACAAAAGGGGAAATTAAGTAGTTTCTCGACAAGTGTAAATTTATTTAAAATCTTGGACAAAAGCAAGACACATGAAGAGAGAATCTCCAGCATGTTCAATTTGCTAATTTCTATTAGAGTATTTGGATCTAAGACTCAACTTTACAATCAAAACGAGTCATTCTTTGATCCATTTCATTACTAATCTACGTTCATCCAACCTCGAAGAAACATCCTAGAACTAAAGAAGTGATAGATTTTAGGCAAGGATAATTTCCTGTTGAGGCCGCCATATGCTTTCGAAAGAAGTGACGTACTGAATCAAAAGCACCGTCCATAGAACAAAACAAAGAGTATACAAGCAAACAAATAGAACAAGATTTGACAATAGATTAGAAAAGAAATGAATTAAAACATATTATATCCTATAGCTCCATATATGTAACGTTGCAAGGTTGTCTTCTCCGTAGCCTCTCGAAAGTTCTAAATTAAGCTAGCAACATCTTTGGGGAGGAAAAAAAAAGGAAAGAAAGAAACAATAATGGCCAAATTAAGCTTTCTATCATGTTTGATATAGTTCATCTTGCTAATCTTATACGACCTCTTCTCTTTGTTGCCCCTGAATCGAAAGAAGCCCTCCTCCAATTTAAATTTTTATTACAGGAAAACCATCCCGAGAACTCATCTATTCTAGAGTCCCGGAATTCTAGTTCGATTGTTATCGGTGGAAGGAAGTCGCTTGTGATTCTCTCACCGATCCAAGGCGGTGGACTGGTCTTCGTCTCGGATATCTTACCTCCTCTTCCGTGGCATCCAATGTCATAACTCCACTTTTTCGTTTGCACGCCCTCGTGTCACTTAATATTACTTCCAACGACATACGAGGTGAAATCCCGGGAGCCGGATTAGCCAATTTAACAAAACTTGTGCACCTTGATTTTACGAGCAACAATTTCATAAGTTCTATTCCTTCGAATTGTTTTCTTTAAGGAAAGTAGAGTCTCTTAGCCTTGACTATAACTTGATTGAGGGAACGTTAAGATTTGACTTGGGCAATCTTAGAAATTTGAAGTTATTGGCCTTGGCTAAAAACTTTATAAGCGGAGAGATTCCTACGGAGATCGGTAATCTCACTAAGCTGAAAAAGTTATTTCTTGGCAGGAACAAATTTTTAGGAGAGATTCCATCATCCATAATGAGTTTGAAGGCGTTGTCAAAAATGGCTTTGGAGTACAATCTTTTGACAGGAGAGATCCCTCCATCAATTTAAAACCCGAGCGAATTGTACGAGTCTTGAAATTCAAAAAAATTTACTCTATGGTGCAATTCCATCATGGTTATTTGATGCGAGAGAAGATCACACGGTTGGACATTGAAGGAAACGATTTTACTCGGTATAAATGCCATTATAACTCCCAATTACTGATTGGATTTCTTATCTTTGAAATCTTGCAATCTTTCAAGGAGTATACCTTTTTGTCTCTCTCCAACCAAACCAATTTGGATCACTTGGACTTGAGTGACAACGAGCTTACAGGAACCATTCCTATGTGGTTGGTCGGAATGAAGATTGGCTCTATTACTTTTTCGGGTAATGATCTTGCTGGATCTCTATCCCCTCGTTTGTTTCAATCGCGGAACTTATGGTTCCTTTCATTGTCAAGGAACTTTTTCACCGGGCAATTACCGGATAACATAGATGAAACTCCTAGATTAAATGTACTAATTCCGTCCGAGAACAATTTCTCCGGGTCAATACCTCGATCCATCTTTAATCTATTTGACCTCGCGAGTTTGGATTTGTCGTGCAAGGGATTTTCAAGCAACAAGTTCCCAAATCTTAGTCTAGCGTTAATACCGATTTATGTTGATTTATCCTCCAATAGACTTTCCGGTGAGATTCCCTTAGATATTGCAATGACAATGCGAGTATTTGTGTTGAGTCAAAATGAGCTTTACGGATTTTGTGCTATTCCTCAAAACTCGATAGATTCTAGCGACCTTATGTACCTTGATCTCCATAATAACAAAATAATAGGTGAAATCCTAGAGATTCTTTTTCGCATTTCTTCTCTTCAAGTTTTAAATCTTAGAAATAATTCTCTCAAGGGGTCCATTCCAACTCATCTATCAAATCTTAGAAATCTCCAAATACTTCGTCTAACAACGAACTTAGTGGGAAAATCCCATCTCGGTTTAGGTAATCTTACCGGAATGATTAACAATCATGCCACGGATTCAATTCTCTTCATTTGGTTATCGGATCTTCAAGAGTTTTCGGCATTGGATGTCATCTGGAAAAAATTCAACCAATATCTCGTCAACCTATAGCTTTTCTCTCGTATACCTTTATTGATCTATCGAATAACCAACTATCGTGGGAAATTCCTAATACCTTAGGAGATCTTAAATATTTGAAGTTGTTGAACTTATCTATCAATATACTCGTCGTGCAAGATACCAATGAGCTTTGGTGATCTACGGAATTTAGAGAGCCCGGATTTATCCCATAACATCCTCTCGGGTGTAATTCTATGGACTTTTGGAAATCTCCTCCGGCTAAGTAACTTAGACGTGAGCAACAATAAGCTTATGGGTAGCATTCCAAATGGCCCTCAAATGCATAGATTGAATGATCCAAACAGTTATGCCAACAACGAGTGGATTGTGTGGAATACAAATTCGGGTATTGTGTGAAGAAGCATTACCAAAGCCAAATCCAAAAGAAAGCGGGAATAGAGAGATATGGTTTTTGTGGGAAATGGCGAGGATTGGATTTCTGTTGGGTTCGTTCAACGAGTGTTGTTTTTTTATGGTTTTGGTTATTTTAATGTTGTAGCACGACATCACCATGGGTGAACTCGTCCCGGGAAAAATGGTCTCTGCTTCGATGTGTTCTTGCCAAGCTTATTAGCTTATTTACCGTAATGAGATTACTAAGTTTAATAATAAGAGCACGCTTGTTATAAACTCGGAGAAACAAGTAAAATTTATTTGTTGTGTTCGCCAATGTTCTTGTTTCTTTTTGTATATATGTTGTGATCGAAGAATATAGAAGATTTAGATCCATTTTAATTGCTAGAATTTTTGACGGAGAGTCATGTTCCAAGACAACCCAATAGGAAGGGCCTATGAGCCCTTAACTCCATAACCCGAAGAGGCTTAACCAAAGCTCACAACTCACCGAGAACGACTAGTCGATTAAGCGGTCCAAAGCATCAAAAAGAGAACATCTCATGTTTTAACTCCACTCTTTCACACAAGGCATAATATAGAACAAGATTTGACGAGTAGCGTAAGAGGTAAACGCATTAAAAATATGTAATCCACTACCGTTCTATGCAAGCATAGTAAACTACTCTTTAGAACCTCCCTAGTCTCCTCAAAACTTCAAACAACTAGCATCTTTGGAAAAAAAGGAAAACAAAGAAACAAGAATGGCCAAATGAAGCTTTCTATCATGTTTGATTTATTTGTTAACCTCATACAGACCCTTCTCTTTGTTGCTCTCAAGCATCGAAAGAATCCATCCTCCAATTTAAATTTTTATTACGGGACCACCATCCCGAGCACTCGGCTTTTCTATAGTCATGGAATTCTTGTTCAATTGTTGTCGATGGAAGCGAATCACTTGTGATTCTCTCACTAATCCACAAGCAGTGATCGGTATTGATCTCAACTATCTCACTTCCTCTTCGTGGCATCCAATGTTTTAACTCTACTCTTTCATTTAACCACTTTTGTGTCACTTAATGTTTCTTTCACCGAGTACACAAGGTGAAATTCCAAGAGATGGATTAGTCAATTTAACGAATTGGTACACCAAGATTTTTCAAGCAATAGTTTCGCATGTTCTATTCCTCCCGAATTGCATTCTTTAAGGAAACTAGAGTATCTTCGCATTCGAGTAACTTGATTGAGGGAACATTAAGTGCCGACTTGGGCAATCTTACGAATTTAAAGATTCCGAACTTGGATGATCACTTGTCAAGCGGAGTGATTCTTGCAGAGAATGGAAATCTCACCAAGTCGAGAGCCCGAGAATGTCGTCGCTTATCGCAATAAATTTTCTAGAGGTATTCCATTGTCCGTAATGAGTTTAAAGGATCCGAGAGTATTGGGTTTGGCGTAAAATCGTTTGATCGGAGAGAGCCGTCCAACAATTTAAAACATGAGTGAGTTGCGTGTATTTTGAGTTAGGAAAAAATTTAATCTCCGGGGAAAATCCATCATGGTTATTTGATATGGAAAAGATTATGTTTTTAGACATTAGAGGAAACAAATTGAATGGTATAAATTCCAAGTATAACTCCCAAGAGCGAGGTTGTATGGCATATTGCAATCTTTCGTGGAGTATAATTACAAGTACTCATGTTGTCCGACAACATTTTCTCGTGGTCAATACCCCAATCCATCTCTAATCTCTTTAAGCTAGCCGTGTGGGACTTGTTAAGAAACATATTTTCAAGCAACAAGTTCCAAATCGTAATGTAAATGGACCGTCGCTTTGTGTTGATCTTTTCTCCAATAGACTTTCCGGTGAGATTCCCATAAATGTTGCGGTGAGAACACAAATACTTGTGTTGAGTCAAAATGAGCTATTTTTATTTCGTCGTTATTGCTCAAAATCAAACAGATTAGAGTAAACCAAATACCTAGATCTCCTTGATAAGAAAATCACGAGTGAAATCCCGAAGCTTCTCTCTCGGGTTTCTTTCCTTCAAGTTCTAAATTTTAGAAATAATGATCTCAAGGGGTCCATTACAACTTATCCGTCAACGCTTAAAAGTCTTCGAATTCTTGATTTGTCGAACAACAAACTGGATGGGGAAATCTCATCTAGTTTAGGAAGTCTTACCGAATGATTCATATTCGATCCACCAAAGAGACATAGAACCTAAAAAAGACAAGCTTCACAAGCTCGGTTGATTTTAGGAAAAAAACTCTCTAAATTGATTAAAACAAGCATATTTATACTTAGAACAATCTCTCTAACTTAGGAAAAACAACAAAACAAGAAATTCTACACCTAGACACATTTTCTATCTATCTGCAGTCCATTTTAGGCCACATGGTTGACTTTGTTGACATGGCCATTTATGTTCTAAGCTTGCACTCCTTGCTTGGATGTAATCTTTAAGCTTAGGTTATGTTTAGCTTGCATGTAATCTTTAAGCTTAGGTTATGTTTAGTACGAGGGGAAAAGAGGTGAAACATTACCCTTGTAATTTTTCATTTTAGAACACAAATTTATATTATTTAAATTTTTTATACTTTTATTTAATTTAAAATTGATTGTATATGGATTGGGATCGGCTATTTTCATAATTTTTTCCAAATCCTATCAAACATCCTTAAAACTTTATCCTTTAAATATATATATATTTTTTACATCCTTAACATGCACTTCACCTTTAAATCTTACCCTCTTAATTTTTTCCTTCAAAAATTTTCATCCCATGCCAAACACAAACTTAAATGTTTAAGACCCTAGTGCTAGCTTGTTGAAAAATGGAGAGTTAAAATCTCAACAAGTGGTAACTGTTGTTAGAGGCAACTTGCTGAAACTTTGACTGCCATTGTGAATTTTTGTTTGTTTCTTGTAATTGTTAATACATGTTCAGAACCTGCATCAGTTACTAAGTGCAAGTTTTATCTTTTAAATCATGCGATCTTACAGGGGAAAATACCTATTTGGGTTTCCAACCAAACTGCTCTATATTTCGTGGATTTAACAGGGAGTGACCTTAATGGATCTTTTCCTCTGTTGTTGGCTGAAATGGAAATCGCCGTTACTATTAATTTTTTCAGACGACAGGTTCAGTTTTCAATCTCAACACTCACTTTTCCTCTGGTTGTCAAGGAACAATATTTGTCCGGAAAATTGCCAGATAATCTTGGTAAAGCCACCGAAATGAAAATACTAATCATACTGTCTGGTAACAGTTTATTTGGACCAATATCCAAATCCTCTCAAACATTACCGAACTAAGGTTGCTGGACTTCTCAAGCAACAGATTTATGAGTTTCCGAATTTTGATCCAACAGACTCTCTTGTTTATCTCATAGATGAAGATGAAGTTGATATATAGAGAAATCTGTTCCATTTTTTTCCTTGGCGAATTTATAAGAAAGCCTTAGCAATTTCCGTTATAATGAAATGTGTCTAGGTGTGTTGGGCTTATTGCGTGAGGCAACATTCAAAGGGCAGGTCTATATTTTTCAAATGAAACAAAAAGAAAGATTAAATACTTTCAGGGTAGTAAATTTATTTGAAATGCAAACAAAAGCAAGACACTTTAACAGTGAATCTCCTGCACTTTCTAGTTGCTAATTTCTATTTGAGAAGGGTTATTCAGATGGCTATACATATTCTTTATAGCATGGTTGGCTTCTGTCCTAGCGGACCTCAGCATCATCGAGGATATCTAGTCAGCTCTTAGTTTTACACTATTTTCTGATCTGTTGGATGGTTCATCTAAAGTTGATCCTGCAGAAACATCCTAGACTAAGGAAGTGAAAGATTCTGGGCAAGGATAATATTTTCTAGTTGAGAAATGTCCAAATTCCTTTGAAAGAAGTATTAACTGAATTAAAATAAATCCTATAGGACAAAGGGTACCATCAAATAGAACAAGATTTTGACAATAGCTTAGGACATAAGTAAATTGGAAATATGTGATCCATTACTGTTCTACGCAACATGGTAAAGTCCTCTTCAGAACATCCCTAGTCCTTCAAAGCTTTAAACACCCAGCATCTTTCAGAAAGTGGAAAACAAAGAAAAAAAACAAAGGTCAAATTAAAATCTTGTTTATTTTAGTTACCTCATACTACCCTTGTCGTTCTTGCCCTCAGCATCAGAAAGAAGCCCTCCTCCGATTAAATTTTGAGTACAAGAAAACCATCCTGAGCATTCATTTCTTCTCGAGTCATGGAATTCTAGTTCTGATCGTTGTCAGTGGGAGCGAGTCGTTTGTGATTCTCTCACTAGTCCACAGCGGGTGGCTGGTCTTGATCTCGACCATCTCACTTTCTCTGCTGTGACATCAGATGTTTTACTTTTACTCTTTCATTTAAGCAACCTTGTATCACTCAATGTTAGTACCAACGACATACATGGTGAAATTCCAAGAAGGGCTAGCCAATTTAACAAACCTTGTACACCTTAATTCGGCAGGCAACAGCGACAAAGGCTCTATACCTCCTGAATTGTTTCTTTAAGGAAACTAGAATATGTTTACCTTCACGATAACCTGATCAAGGAAACTTCAAGTAGTAAGTTGGCCAACCTTAGCAATTTGAAGTGTCTGATCTTGCCTAATAACTTTATTCATGGAGATATTCCTGCAAGCACTGGAAATCTCACAAAAATGTAAATGATGCTGCTTTACAACAACAGATTTTCTGGAGAGATTCCAGCGTCCATAAAGAGTTTGAAGGATTTGACTGTAATGGATTTGGGAGACAACCTTTTGACAGGAGTGATCCCTCCATCAATTCAAAACATGATCGACTTGTATACCCTTTAATTGGCAAATAATTTACTCTCTGGTGAAATTCCAACATGGCTGTTTGATTTAGAGAATATTGGTGAGTTGGATATTGGACAAAATGATTTTACTGGGATAAATCAAGTGCAGGTTGGTCCAGTTATCTTTGAAATCATGCAATCTTTCAGGACATTTACCTTTTTGGCTCTCCAACCAAACCGATTTGTATTACTTGGACTTGAGTGAGAATGGCCTTACAGGAGCCTTTTCTAAGTGGTTGGCACAAATGAAGATGAACACTACAAATTTGTCAGGTAAAAATCTTGCAGGACCTCTGCTCCCTCACTTGTTTCAGTCTCAGCTTTTAAGTTTCCTTTCTTTGTCAAGAAACAATTTCTCGGGGCAATTGCCGGATGAAATAGATGAAGCTTCCGGAATAGGAATCTGACAACAATTTCTGTTGGTCGATAGCTCAATCTGTATCCAATCTCTCTAATCTGGAGTTGTTGGACTTGGAAAGCAACAGATTTTCAGACAGCAAGTTTCCAAATCTTAATCTAACTGTTTGACTGGCTTACGTTGATCTTTCCTCCAATAGGCTTTCTGGTGAGATTCCCGTAAATGTTGCTGTAAGAACACAATTACTTGTCCCGAGTCAAAATGAGTTTTTTGGATTTGGCTCCATTCCTCAAAATCTAACAGATTGGGGTAGCCTCTGTTGACTCGATCTCCATCTCTGCTAAGCACTTTTTTCTAATGAAAAATCGTTAAATAGTTTGCTGCCTATGGTGGGCTGGACTTGGAAGTTCAACATCTTGGTTCTTATTGGGTCATATTTAGGCTTCTTCAAAAGGCTCGTACTGTGGGAGGAATGGCCCATGTTCAACTCTATTCATTAACCAGACCCAATTACTGTTGGATAATTACTAGCAAAGTGAGGGGTAATTTCGTAGTTTGGTACCCAAAAGAATGAGACCCCAAAACCCTAGCTCTTAACCCCTAGACCATAAAGCCCAAAAACCATGACATTGCCCACGCTGTTAGAAAAACCCTCCACATCTCTTCTTCTTTCACGTCAATAACAGCAAACAATGAGGCCACCAAGAGGCGGCGGGTTCAGGGGAGGGAGAGACGGAGGTTTCAGGGGAGGGAGAGACGGCGGTTTCAGGGGTGGACGTGGGGGCCGTGGTGGCCGTGGTGGTTTTGGGTTTCGTGATGAAGGCCCTCCTGATGAAGTAGTAGGTGTGTTCCTTGTTATTCTACTTTCCCTCTTTAGTTTGCTTGTTTTCTTTTTCTGTGTATGATTTCTTGTGTGTTTCTGCTAAAAAGATGCGTAAATGTGTTTTAAAGTTTTCAATTTGGGAACCTTATGATTGAAGTTTAGCTGTAATTACAAGAATGGTAGTTGATGGGTGAAATAAAGCTTAAAACTTTTGATAGTATTTGATTAAGGAGGGACTGGTTGTTGTTGATTCATCGATGGGTTTTGTTTTTTGTAGAGGTTTCAGCGTTTATTCATGCCTCTGAGGGAGATGCAGTGACAAAGCTAACCAATGAGAAAATACCATACTTCAATGCTCCAATCTTTTTGCAGAATAAGACCCAGATAGGGAAAGTTGATGAAATCTTCGGTCCCATTAATGAATCTGTGAGCTTTCTTTTCTTTCTGTTACTGGTATCTTTTAGTACCTTTTCAGTTTAAGGATTTTAATTTCTTTTTTGTGTATGGTTGCAGTATTTTTCTATCAAAATGATGGAAGGAATTGTGGCGACTTCTTATGCGCCAGGGGACAAGTTTTATATTGACCCGGGCAAACTCTTACCTCTTGCAAGATTTCTTCCACAACCGAAGTACGTTTCTTATCCTCTTTTATGATATTGAAATAAAACTTTTTTTTTCCCCATTAATTGAGCATTCTACTATATCATTTCGAATTGATTGTATTCATGGGGATGTGGATGCTTTATGGGAAAGTTTGTCATTACATTATATGATGTATGTTAATTGAACATTCTACTACTTTATCGTTTCGAATTGATTGTATTCTGTGAGGATTTGGATGCTTTTATGGGAGAGTCTGTCATTACATGATATGATATCTGTTATCTTTGCATCGAAGGAGATGGCTTAAGTTGATTCTAGATTGTGCATATTGGATTCGGTACTTATTGTGTCAATTGCCTGGACAGTTGACTAATTCCAATCTTGGTAATATTGCCATTGGCTCACTGTGGATCTTTTCTCTATGTATCGTTGCTTGTAACATCATCTAAAAGCATACTTGACAAGCACTGGCAACACATATTGTTATATATATATATTAGTTGTTAATTCTATAAGTGATGTAATAAGAAATAGCTGCAGGAGGTTTGCATGGGGGTTGTTCTTCATTTGTGTTAGCTTGTAAACATGGTATACCCAAGTATCAGAACATTTGTAGTATTACCTTGGGCAAACAATTGCATCCATTTATGATTTTGTTATGCTTTTGAAGATAACAGTATCTTAGCTATGGAAATAAAGGATGGTGGTTAAATACTCCATGATATCCTGTGATGATCCGCTGAGTGTTGTGCTTCATTTATGGATTTCAGTCCTTTTTGGTATTCTGTTTAACATATAAATTCAATTGCTGAAATCATGTCCTCTTACTCTGAATGTACCTGCCTTCACTTATTGTATTCTTTTGTGCTATATTTGCATATCATGTCTGGTATTTGATCATGTTCTAGATTTTTGGAACCTTGTCTAATTCAATTGAATCACAATGTTTATGTTTTTGTTCCAGGGGACAAGCTGCAAGAGGTGGTGGTCGTGGTGGAAGAGGCAGAGGTGGTTTTGGTGGTGGCAGAGGTGGTTTTGGTGGTGGCAGAGGTGATTTCCGTGGAAGAGGAAGGGGTAGAGGTCCACCTAGAGGTGGCGGCCGCGGACGTGGTGGTTTTAGGGGAAGAGGGAGGGGATAAACAACTTTCTGTAATATTTCCAGTGCGCTTGTCTTTTTAAGTTTTAATTTTAAGATGCTATGGGCAGACAACAATCTATCAGAATTTTGGTTTTATGTAGTTGTCGCAATGTATTTTTATTTCAAATTAGATGTATTGCTGAAATCTGTCAGAATCTGGTCAGAGCTTTCATTCAGAAAATCGGAGGATTTGGATACCAATAGAGATCATATGGTGCGTTCTGGGTTTCTACACTCTGTAATGCACCAAAGGGGACGCAATCTTCAACATATTCTAGTTCGTGAATCTTTTCACTTTTGTTCCCCCTTCTATCTTGTTGCATTTTCAAGATTAAAAAAAAAAAAAAAGGCTAGTGGGTGCATTAGTTAGCAGTCACAGGTTATTGCTCCTTTATTCGTGCAATTTGTTCTGTGCGGATTCAAGGTGTCTGTTGTCTCAGTTGTGATTACATCTTAATCCATGTTCTTTTGTAATATATTGCAAGTTAAAATGCTTTTTGACGAGGGTAACTGACCAATTCTTGCATTCCCATTCTTATTACTTCATTCCTCGGAGTGATGCTACAGGCCAAATCTGATGAATTTGCTGGTGCACCTTTTTCTGCACTGTTTGATCTGCGTGGTTCCTTTTAGATAGGGTTTCCGTAATACTGGGAGCAGGCGCGATGGCTGGACTTTTTGACATTTTCTCAGAGGGTACTAGTCAGTTGCTGCTCATGTTACGCTATAATTTTGTAATTATAATATTATATTTAATTAATTTTTTTCTAAATTTTTTGGTTAAAAAAAGAAATCATTCATCTTTATGGATTGATTTTAATCAAAATATTAATCAAGAATTAAAAAAATTTAAAAATATATATTTTATAATATTGTATTAAAAATCAAGTTATAATTAATAAATAAATTTTTATAAAAACTAATAAATAAACAAAAATTTCTTAATTAATGCTGATAAGATGATTAATTTTTGAAATTATTAACGCAACACAATGGGTAGATAGGACAAAATCATTTAAAATTTTATAATTTTTTATTTAATTAAAAAAACATGATTTATTTTTCTTTATTTAGGGTATTCCTAAATAAAAACTTATAATATTTAAACCTCAAATTTATAAAGGAAGGAAGGAAACAAAAAAATAAAATAAAAAGGGTGGGGGGACAGGCGTCCGGATGGCACAAACCAACCAGGACTGGCGCCTGGTTGGTTTATGCAACCAGGTTGCCCATGAACCAAAAAAAAAAAAAAAACCACCTGGTTGGCACCAACCAACAAGGACAGGCGCCTGGTTGGTTTGTGCAACCAGGTTGCACTTGAATTAAAAAAAAAAAAGCTGTAATTTCTGACTAATTCAAGCTCGTCGGAATTTCGTCAAAAAATCAAAAGTCAATTTTTAGATCTCTAGAAATTGAATTTCGGCATTATTTTTTTTCAAACACATCTAAATGACCGGAATAAAGTCAATAAACACATCTAAAACCTTAAAAATCATTTTAATACACACAAAAATAAAGAAAAATACAAAATCAAATTTTTTTTCTTTTTTTGGCTCCGATCTACCCCCTCTAATGGTTTAATGACTTAAAATCACTATAGATAAACTCATCTCTCAAAGATAAAAAAATCTAGTGGATTTTCATTGAATGGAGTACCCTAAATAAGCTTGACTGATGATTTCTCTCTCTCCCGTCTCTCTCTTCTCCCCTTCCTTCTCTCTCATCCAGGGATCAAAATGAATGAACAAATAAAGGTATAGATCGAAATATTCTTTGACAAATATCAAAGATCAAAGTGTTAAAAAATCAATAAATAGTAAAATGTTAGTACATGAATAATGTTTAACACAGTAAATCATCGTTTTGTTTTAATTTATTTAGTTAATGTTTGCGAACAAGCTGAAAAGCTACGAAATTGGCTTTTTCATGAGTTGTTGAAAGTTGGAAACTCATCTTAAGGATGAAATTACGATTAGGAGTTCAATCACACAATGTAACTTACGAACTTACAATAAGACTTTGCCAATGAGGTATTGGTTCAGCGATAAAAGCCTCATGGCTAAGGTTTTGGTAGTTTGGTATCCAAGTTAAAATCATTCCAATCCAGACGGAGAGCATACAAAGAAAAAAGAAATATATAAAAAACCCGGAGCAGTAAAACTTCAGCCATTCCTCTTCTTTGTAAGCGAACTTGCAGTGCATAGAGAAATGCCTTGGGGGTAGAAACTCAGATGGAAACTAAGGTAATACATATGACAAAACCTTGTTTAAACTTCCATAAGCAATAGAAATCTCGGCAAGCATTAGGTGCCTCATTGAAGCCCCACGTTTATTCAGAGAAGCAAACATCTCAGGCTTCCCAACCTCTAAGAACGGTAGCTCGTGCAACACGGTTAACACCTAGAGTGAAGGCTCCCATACGGAGATCACAATCATGGGTTTTGCACATCTCTTTCACATCTTTGAAACCTTTGGTCATGTAATTCTTTAGTTCACTGTTCACCTTCTCTTCATCCCACAAGAATCCTTGGATGTTCTGCGATGCACAAACAGCAAAAGCATTATTACATTTATCAAGCCATTATGGAAATGTACCTGGTTTTAATATTGGCAGGAAGCCCACATTCAGTGTTACATGTAGAAATTAAAATAAAGGCGAAGGTTGTCAGAATAAAGGGAAAAAATTCCTAGAATTCGGACTTGTTTTTATCTCCTCTTGATCATTCAAGTTTTCAAACTTGAATGTAACATCATAGCAAATGCTAATAAATGAATAGCAGGCCATGGTGACAAGCTGCAAGGAGATCTAGTTATCACAGAAAAGCAACATTCTCTACCTGCACCCACTCGAAGTAACTAACAGTAACGCCTCCTGAGTTAGCATATATGTCTGGAAGAATAACAACACCTTTCTTCGACAAAATCTGTGGAAAGAACAAGAAACAATTATCATTTGTTTCAGGGTCAGTTAGAATCTAAACATCGAGCAGGCAGTAACCTCATCAGCTTCAGGGTCAGTTGGATGGTTGGCAGCTTCAATAATGAATTTGGCTTTAATATCATTTGCATTCTCCCTTCAATCAGAAAAAAAGAACAACATTTAGTAGCAAATTCAAGATTTCAAGATCAATACAAAGAAAAAGGAATATCTTATTATTAGCCCAAGAAATAAATTTTATTTGCAGTCAAAATATATTTCAGTGGAAGAGTTCCTTGACATGGAAGTTTTTGATAAGAAAAAAGCTTCTTTTATGACAAATAAACCTGTTGATGACACCTCCAAGTGCTGCTGGTATGAGAATGTCACAGTCTTCAACTAGTATTGACTTGGGATCAATGGGATCCACACCATGGAATCCTTTCACACCTTTGTGTTCCTTGGCATGTTTGAGTAGGCTTGGAATATCAATCCCTTTGCTGTTCTTTACAGCTCCAGTTATGTCACTTACGGCTACAACCTTGCCACCCTGCTCACTGATTAGTTGCGCAGCCCAGGCACCCACATTTCCGAAACCCTGAAATGAACACTTCCATTTGGGTTAGTTGAAATTTTATCCTCGAAACAATACCAGGACGAACAACCCCATTTCTTTGTGTGAATGATCAACTAAGCTGAAATAGCATTCGAAGTGCACCTGTATGACAAATCGTTGCCCTGATATGGTCTTCCCATGCTCATTAAGCAAGGCTTCTGTTGCAAAGAGCACTCCTCGTCCAGTGGCAGCATCTCTGCCTAGAGATCCACCAAGATCCTGATTTAAAACACACAAAGAAAAACCCCAAAAAGGATTGTCAATTTACTACAAGAAACAAATTTCATCAGCAAGACTAAAATGTTTCAATTTTACAAGATGTCCATTTAGATGGACTAGGAGAAACTCAACATACAAAAATAATTCAATACTAAAACCTTGTATCTCCAATCGGAAACAAGAAAATATATGATTTGGTTCATTAGAGTAAATGTCAACAGTCATAAGCAAAGCAGAAAAAATCCCAAAATTTGCTGTTAAAGAGCAGGAAGTGCGATAAAAAAAATTAGCAGAAGTGGAAAGGCTACAGGAAATGACAACTACATATACAATGAGGAGTGAAATATACTTACAATTGGTTTTCCAGTAACAACAGCAGGTGAGTAGCCATGGAATTTGGAGTACTCATCCAGTATCCACGCCATAGTCTGTTTAACCAAAAAACAAGCATATCTTAGTATATTTATCGGTGTCTTAAAAACACACTCAGAAACTCTTTTCAGTACATCTCTTTCATGCTACAAAGTAATATATTCTTTGCAAAAACATATGCTTTCAGTGCCCAACCTGTGGACCAGTTCCCATATCAGGAGCTGGAACGTCTGTGTGAACTCCTATCAGATCATGTATCTTTTGAGTGAACACCCGGGTAAGCCGTTCTAGCTCAGACACACTTAACTCCCCTGGATTACATCCTATTCCACCTTTAGCCCCACCATAGGGAATGTTTGCCACTGCTGTCTTCCATGTCATAAGTTGTGCTAATGCATTGACTTCATCTGGATCAACCTAAAATCATCCATATCATTATGAGAACCGGAACTCAAAATATACTAGCAATCTTGATCTAACACTTCATATAGTCCACCCTTAAATTTATTTGAGATTTCAAACAAAAAAGTGGTATTCATAGCCATTTACTTTGCAAGGCTTGAAGCTTGAACTTCGCAAATCAGAAAGATTGTGTTTGGATTAAATCAGAATAATGCCACAACTACATTGGTTATAATGTAAGCTACCTCTGGGTGATATCTGATTCCCCCTTTCATAGGACCTCTGGCATTGTCATGCTGAACCCTGAACCCAACAAAAGATGCCAAAGTGCCATCATCTTTAGGTATGGTACATTCAACCTGCATTTTTTTTTTTTAATCAAAGTCCATCAGAACAGCAGGGCACAGAAGCAAAAACCAATTGGATATGGTATTTGAAAATTATATAGATTTAAAAAACTACTTATGTAGTCACCTTGATTTCTCTGAATGGAATAAGCAAACTTTTCTCAAGCTTTGAGTCCAACCGCAACAGCCTAGCTGCCAGCTTGAAGTTCCTGTTGGTTGCCACTAATGCATTCATGGTTGCTCCTGAAACCGTCTGAAGAGCTAATCACAGAAGGTAGTCCCTTGTTAGCAGATAGAGACGAGGAAAATAGACCAGTTGATAGGTTCCCACAAATAGAGAATGAAAGGTATATAAAGCAATCAGTCAAAGTCTACATAAGCAATCATTTGAATATATTATGGAAGACAACACGAGAGATCAACTCATGCAGGCAAACAAGATTTGGCACTCCATTAATGCAATGAGAAACTAATTCATCAGCAACGCCATCAATGTGCACCACGTTGTGGATTAAGAAACGAAAATAAAATATAGCAACTTCGAGAGAAGACTGACCATGCATGTTCATTTTTTTGTCACTTTGAGGTTTTGAAAGGGCAAAATTAACAAATAATTATCGTTAAAACATCATTGGTCAAAGAAGACAAACTCTTTTAACAACTTCGGTAATGATTTTTATATATAAAAACCTAAGAAGACAAATGCTTTTGGTTACATATCATGGCCAAAAGAGCTGAGAAGTATCGGATGCAATGAATATATGTATAGCTTATGAGGCATTCCAAATTAGCAAGCAATTAATCTTGCCATGATCCCAACTCCTCAACATGTATGGCATGCCATGCCATGCCCTTGAACAAGATTTTGGATTTAGGCCAACACAAATATCTCTCGAGGCTTGGATACCTTCTTTCTCAATATTATTAACTAATTTCTACGTTCTTATAGATTAACAAAGTATGGGACTAGTTGTCTCATTTGAATATGATTTAATTCATTTCTTTTCTAAGTTGCATTCCACGATGTGCTAACAAGTTAAATTTGTGCATGAGGCAGAGCAGAATTTGATTGAATATGAGAGGTTCGGGGCCAAGCATTGAACTAAGAAAATTTTACAACTCATCAATTATCTGTTAGGTGTTTCGATGCTTATTCTATTGGTACAGATTTTTTTATTAGATGAGTGCTCCAACCTAAAAGTTTATGAAATTGGTGCACATTTCCATGAGTCATTATTGAGATTACTTACTTATATTTGAACCCAAATCCAGCTTAGCCTTCACCACCTCCACTAACAGATTCTCTCAAGATAAAAGTGTAGTGTGCCATTGAAAATAAAGAAGAACAAAGTGATACTTCATCCATGGTAGCATATGGTAGGAAATAATTCAATGAAAAATGTAAATCAACCGATACAATCTCTCTCTAAAGTGCAAAAATTATATGATTGCATTCTAACGCATCCTATCAAAGGAAAATTTTAAAAATGTGGGCAATCTTTTGGTTTGGAGATCTAGTGGTGTCCATTAATCGAAACTAACAAGACACGGTATCTTTGAATCGGTTTTATTAATCGAAACTAAATCTATTTCTTCTGACAGCCAAAAGCAGTACCACGCAGGATTAAAGAATCTTGACACTTAAATTAAAATAGGAAAATACGGTGGGTGAAAATATTGGAGATCTAGTGGTGTCCATTAATCGAAACTAACAAGACGTGGTATCTTTGAATCGGTTTTATTAATCGAAACTAAATCTATTTTTTCTGACAGTCAAAGGCAGTACCACGCAGGAGGACCAAAGAATCATGACACTTTAATTAAATTAGGAAAATGCGGTGGGTGGAAATATTGGCAATCCTGAAATGTGAGACTAAAACTTTGGTGACAATGGTAGCTTTTGCTGGTTAACCCTACTGGGAATCTGATGTGTATCCAAAGTGCCATCCCTATCAGCATCTACTACAGGTATGAACAACGTGTAGGAAAAAATCAGTTAAATAATGTTTTAAAAAGAAATAAATGCAAATCATAGCTTAAATGACTTAATGATTCTGAAGGTGGACCTCACCTCACCTCGCCTCGCCTCACTATCAAATTAAAGAATAATGAAACCAACAAGAGCAAGTTAGATAATAGTGGGCATTCTTATCGTATACCTAAAAAAAAAATAAAAAAATAAAAAAAACTGAGATTTGAGATTTCTCTCTAATAATAATGACTATAAAAATTTCAAAAGAAAAGAACAGCTCCAAATCAGCCAATACATTTACACTGAATTTTAAATCAGCCACGAAACTTTATGAAATTTGCCAATAAATAGTACCTTAAAGGTTTTTGTCCCTTCCGTACTTTCATATTGTCGACTTGTGTACTGCTGACATTGTTTTGTTGAAAAAAAAAAAAAAGAAAGGTTGATGGTGCACATAATGTAGATGAGGCTTATCCAGGTGTGAGTTGATTTTCCTAAAATCATAATTGTGCCAACTAGCTTAGATAGTAAAATACTACTAATATATTTTGTAATAGATCAGTTCGCGTGGGAGTAAATTATAGATTGGTCCCTTTAGTTTTTCAAAATGAATTAAATAATATTTTAAATTTAATTAATTAATTTTTATATTTTTAAATCTATTTGTAACTTAATCTTCTTTTTTTTCAATTTTTTTAAGAAATAAAAAAAAATAAGCAAAAAAATATAAAAGAATTGAAATATTTTGATAAACATTTTTAGCAGGTGTTAATCGGATCTAAGGATATCATGGATATAAATAATATATTTTTCTTAAAAAATTGATTAAAAAAAATTGACGTAATAGGCCCATTGCCTTCCCTAACCTTATCCTCACTGGTCTCGCTGGCTTATATTTATGCTGACACATAATCAACTAGGCACAGACCCCAACCTAGACCGTTGAATTATTGCAAAATTCGTCCATTTATTCTAGAAGTTGATCATCCCCATCATCACCTAGCAAAGGACCATCTAGAACCAGTAAATAACTCATGGCTAAGATCCTCTCTTAACTTTACACAAGTGAGTTATACTTTTAAATATTCATAATAATCAAATTAAACAGGAAAAAAAGGTAAAGAAAGGAGAGGAAATGGGTTGCTTACATGGAGTTGTCAGGTGAGAGTTGACAAGCCAAAACTCCAAGATGATGAATCAAAAGCAAAAACAGCATGCTTCACTGCCACTATATTATATAAAGGAAGTTGCCAAGTTTTTTTTTCCTCTCTCTCGATCTCTCCTTTTTGGTGCTTTGTATCAGGATAAAGGGATGAATTTGGAGGTGGGTTTTTGGCAGAGAAACAGAATTGAATTGAATTGAGTTAATCATGATGCGCAGAAACAGAATTGGTACATACACACGGTAGTGGAGTTGGCTTCTATCGTTTTCAGGGCGTGATAGACTCAGACAATGTGATTGGCTTCAGCAAATTAACCATTAATGTTGGTGATATGGATGGCGGAGCAGATAGGCACATACATCAATACCTTGTTCATCAAAATTTAAAAAGAAAAAACATACTACAAAATATACTTTTTCTCATCTGATATTTGCGAGCAGTATAATTTAATTGGAAAAAGACAAATTGAGGTGAAAAGACCCATTTAGGTAAACTGGAATTTCATTCATTATCAATTGACGTAAAAAGAAAATCAGGAAAGATATCTTGGAGACAGTAGTGGATATCCTTAAAAAAGACAGAAATCTGTAACCCATGACAAATAGAAATCACTACAAAGTGGAAATGTCGCAAGGATTGGGTTTGCGTCCAACAATCTAGCACTAAAAATTGGCCTGAGCTGGACTGCCAAATTCAAGGGAGGGGAAAAATGGAGAGGTTATACTAGCAGATAATAAAGAAGGAAAGAAGATCTATCAATGTCAATTTCTTCTTTTCTTTTTTCTCTTATAATTATCAATGTCAAATTCATTTCTACTGACTTGTCCAAATTGCGACCATATAAAAGAGAGGCCTTCTTGTTTTTTTGTGATTTTATTTTTTATGAGGTTACGGGACTTGATGTCATGAAAACAATCAGACCCAAAAGAGCAAAAATAACGATCATGAAGTCAAAAAAGTGTTAAAAAAAAAGGCCTAAAAATCTCCTCTCTAACCTCCTCAGTCCTCGCAACAAAGAAGCCAAAAGGATCTGGAATCAAACCACAATTTTCCCAGCACTTTCGTCCTTCTGGCTTCCTTTTTTACTCACAGCACCTGAAATGGCCAGATCATGAAAAACCAAACCAAATGCTATCTAATAACATGAACAGGCATTCCTTGAACTAACAAAACAAAAAATCATAAGATTGATAAAGAAGGTGTTAAAGAAAATCTTACCCCAAGATAATGAAGAAGATAACTCGATCAATCTCTTCCCAAATTCAGCAGTAATGATGATCCAAGCTAAGCACCAAATCTGCAAATAAATAGTGTAACAAAAAACTACAACTGAATGAGAATCAAATTCCTTAAGAATCCAAGAAAGATGAGTACTTTATCTATCCCAAAGTACTTGGCAAACCAAATCTAAATTCTGCTGACATATATATACATTTGAAGACCAAATTTGTGTGTCTCCAACAGGCTGCTAGCTTTTCAAGTAAGAATATGATACCCTCCTATGTGCTCAAGGCAGCATCAAGCTACTCACCATCCATTAATGTTGTCACAGATTACCCACTTGGTGATCATCATAAGAGAATGTTTCAAGATAGAGAGAAAAGTAAGAGAGAAAGAGAGAGGGAATCATCATACGTGGAAAACAAAATCTTCAACTTTGCGAAAATGTTACTGCTTGAACGTGAATCCAACGCGAAACCCATCATGGTTGTTGTTGAAGATTTATCTTGAGCTAACTAGCTAGCTGGGGGTTTTTATAGAGAAAGTAAGCTGGGTTTATTTTGCCTTTAGACCTTGTGGTCATGGTGGTATGTGAAACAGAAAGATTAGTGTCCGTTACAGGTTATTTAAATCTTTGCTTTTTATGTATCGTCATTTACCAGCCAAAAAGTTTACATAAAAAGAGAGAGTGAAGAGGAAAAGGAGAAGAACATGATTAAACAGGAGTTGCAATCACGACAAATTAATGATCAAAGTTTCTTGTGAAATCGTATTGTAGCATCATCTTTTCGATTAGTGCACGTCAATTTTAATTTGTTCAGAGCAATAGAATTAGTGTGATCATCAAACTTTAAGGAGTTTAATACCTTTAGAATTGCT